ACGACAATGACGACTGAGAGAATATGATCCCTGCAAGTTCCAGACTAGCCTGGGCTACAAAGTGAGTTTAAGGCCAGCCTAAACCACATAGTGAAATCCTGTCTCAAAATGGCAAAAAACCAAACCAAACCAGTATTTATTCAAATATTAATTCCTTTAATAAGAGAGTCCTTTTGAGAAGTTAAACTAACCATATGACTATGAGTATACATGGATCCACATATACCTCAGCAATACAAAAAGCACAAAAGTATTTTCTACATGTCTAGCCCTACAAAAAGAGTTCAAGGCACTTAAAAATGAAAGTAAGAATCAGTTTCAAATTCACTTTTGCAGATATGTGATTTATGTTCTCAGGGATGAAGGGAAACGATCATTGACGAATCCAGTTCACGGCATTTATGTATTTATTATTAGTAATGAAGGTTAAGGGGAACATCCTGACCCTGAGTGAAATATAATCACCTCCTTGGACTCGCATCTCATCCTTTCCAGAGACCAGGGAAAGCTGTGTATCTCAGACCGGTCCAGCTCCCACTGAGAGCACCAAGGCCTCCTGTAGGGCAGTGTTTCCACCCACACATTGCCCTGCTGGTCACCCCAGCTAGCTGGGACCTCCTAGCCTTGGAGCTCACCACCCCCTAGTTTTAAAGCAAGCTGAAATCCCCTTTCCTTGGAGAGTGGCTTTGTGCCGTGGGGCTCCCTTCTGTTAGGACTCTTTTCCTCAAATTAGCACTGCTTGCCATCTCCTAAGCCCAAAAAAGAAGAAAGAAAAAGGCTTTTGTCTCTAATGAACATAATTTTTTTCTTATAATAAAATTTCTTTTCAAACCAAATTAGTTGCTGGGGCTGTAGCTCAACAGCACAGCACCTGCCTGGCAAGAGTGAGGATGAGAGTTTGATTCACAGGACCAAAAAAAGTACACGGAAGAAGCAAACCAAGTTACTTAAAAAATCACACCAAACTCTTGACAGTTTTATAGCATTAAACTCATAAGAAAATTTAACTGAAATATTTTTAAAGTTTGAAGGAAAATTTCTTTCTTTTTTTTTTTTTAATTAATTTATTTATTTTGTGTGTGTGTGGCCAGCTCAGCCCACCAGGGGGCGGGGCTGGCTGGCATGTGGTGCTGGGGGATTGAACCGTGGTCCCTGTGCTTTTTGCTCAGCTTGTTCTAAGTAGGTGCTTTAGACCAATGAGCCATCTCACCAGCCCCTGAAGGAAAATTTCTGAATTCACAGAGATTCTATTTTCTCTTTGTTGGCCACGTAAAAACATCAAAGATTGTTTCAAAATTCTCTCAAATGGCAGTTTTCATATCCCATAATTACAATAGTTTTTATAAAACCTACCCTTCGGATAATACTGGAACATAGGTTAAGTTTTTGAAAGTGAAATTTATTTTTCCACTAAACCATGTATAAAGAAAAGCTATTCCAATAATGTAATGCAATGCAATGCAATACAGTGCAACATTAACATAACGTAAGACTGGGTGTGGTAGTGCGTGCCTGTAATGCCAGTGCTTAGGAGGCTGCGAACAGGAGGATCCCCACGAGTCCAAGCTGTGTAGTGAGATCCTGTAGACCCTGTACTAAATACATAAAAATAAAGAACTAATTTTTTTTAAAAATAATATAACATTATTTTTACAAAGGAAAACCACGGGCTGGTGAGATGGCTCAGTGGTCTAAAGCACCTACTTAGAACAAGCTTAGCAAATCACAGAGACCACGGTTCAATCCCCCAGCACCACATGCCAGCCAGCCCCGCCCCCTGGTGGGCTGAGCTGCCCCCTCCCACATAAATAAATAGATAAATAAATAAATGGAAAATCAAAAGTGGTCCAGGGTTCATGTAAAAATAAAGCACCTTTTTTTTTTTTTGGAACCGGGGATTGAACTCAGGACCCTGTGCTTGCCAGGCAAGTGCTTATTCTACTGAGCTATCTTCCCAGTCCCCAGTAAAGCACTTCTTGACGTCAACCCAAAGATACTATTTTCAAAAGCAATCCCTTATTAATTATTAATGCTGGCTTCTTTATTGTGAACTCTTAATTTTGCTCCTTTTCTTACCTCATCTTCCATTGTTTTTATGATGGATGGGTCTTATATTTTGAGCCCCTTTTTAGTAGAGGATTATTTTGGGCTTTCCTATATACATATATAAAATCTATCTGTATATAAGTTTTCTGAGCATAAATACTTATACTTTATTTCCTTAATAAATGATGAGTGTTTCCTTAATAAAATGAATATACTTAAAAAGTAATGACTATAAATGTCTAATAGCAGAGAAAAAACAGATTAACTTCATAAAATAAAATGCCATTGTCCCCTGTTATGGTTTGTGTCTAGTTGTTCCCCCAAAGCCTCTCGTAGTCATGGGGTGGCTTCTAGAGTTTGTGACTAATTCTTGATCCAGTGCTGGGGTTATGGGTGTGGGTGCTACTCCTGCCTTGGGGCAGATAACCTGCATACAAATGTAAGGAGCGGAGAGAGGCTAACTGCAGCCATTGCTCCTCCCTTTGCTTTTTGGAGTTTTCTGCTGCCGTGAACGGCAGCCTTCTGCTTTCTGCAGCTCTGCCTTGGAGCCAGCGAGTATGCACTGAAACCTCCGCTAACTGTGAGCTCAATAAGCCTTTCCTTCCTTAATTCTGGGTGTTGGGTATTTTGTCCTAGCAATGAGAGAAAAGTAACTGAGATAGCCCCATAGCAGAGAGGCAAGAT